AAGTAGAGTTAAAAGTGAATAATTGGAATGGTACCTTCGAGTAGTGGTACTGAAAAGTATTGTCATCAATGACATCAATCACAGGACAGACTACCGTCGTGGGATCTCGTTTGATTCGATCTAATAGTGGCTCTATCCATCCTAAAGTTCGAATGGGTTAGTTTCTTATACCTATTACTCCGCATGCACCTATAGATGTTATGGAAAAGGTGTCCGCAACACGTAACAACTATGCGTGCGGTCGCGGCGCGGTCACCTGTGCGACCGCATGCCTAGTCGCCACGTAGTGCGACTACTGAACGTTCCACAGAATGTTAACAATCACTAACCTTCCATACATTCGCAATGTGAGTCAAGATACGTCAACACTTTCCCTTCAGCAATTGCCGCACCGCGCAACCGCGCGCGAATCAGACCTTCTCGTTTCTCCATCCGTAGAATCTTCACCTTTGGAAACTGTGACATATATCGAGCAAGCGGTTCTGCAAGCATCAAACGTTAAAACAAGTAAATAAAATAGGCCATTACTGGCAATTACTTATTTCACAATAGACTAACGGACACGCTCAAGAAAAACGAATACTAGAGCATAGATATCGATTTTACGCGCCTAACCAACTTCGCCTGAGTTTATAGTTGTGAAATGATGGACAAAACTCGCTATCACAACACGAATCCTTACCTTTAGTATGCGCCATGTCTGAAAAGTCGTCGACCAAAATGATCTCTTTGAGTAATCGATCAGGTGTTCGTTCCAGTATCGAGTGTACCGTACGCAGTAGTACTGACCACGCTTCATTGTGGAAGCACACAACGACAGATGTGTCCGGCAGGTCATCAAGGTATTTTTCAGTCAAACATCTGAAAAATTGCTACATTACAATGTCATAAGAATACATTTTTCAGGGTCAGTCTTAATCTTTTCACATTTTTTGACACTCCGTAAGAGTGCAGGCGACAAGAGCACGTTTCCTTCCGCGTAAGAGACGCAGAGGAGCAAACTTTACTTCGTTGCTTTCTGTGATACTTCCCGGGACTGCCAGATTTCTCAGTGATTTTAGCGTGCTTTTGAAAAAAAAGCACAAAATTAGGAGCACAAATGGGCGTGGCACATGCGGATTAGGACAATACACGCCCCTCCCACTTCGGACGAGTTGTCGGTCACCACAGCCCCACAGATCAAAAGAACACCAAGTAAATGATCCAGCTGGTTGACCAGACCATGTGGACGTTTTCCTTCTAAGTTACCGTGACGCTAATGAATAGTACTAGTATATTCGTAACTGTTGCGTAGATTAGATGCGCATCGTCGTATGGCTCGATAATTGAGCGTCAAATATGAAAAGAAAATTGAAAAATCAGCTTACTCTTTATCAAGGATATCCGGAAGCGTTCGATGTATTGATATCATATCTGATGCGTATTGATTGAAAGCGTTATTTTGAAAGCCCGTGTCGTATTTTCGTTTCTCTTCTGGCGATAATTTCTTAAACACTACTGTTAGAATTTAAAATCAAATAATCAAGACCAACTGAAAAGAAAACTGAAAAAGAAAGAAAAAGTAAAAGAAAAGAAAAGAGTTACACAAAAAACTTGACAAGGTAATGAGAATTAAACTAGCAAAAGAAAAAATCAGATTTCTAAGGAATAATGAATACCGTGCAACATCTACTCTATCGGTAATTGGAAAAACAATGATTCGAGAACAGCAGACCAGTGACGCGAGCGGTCGCGACGCGATCAGTAGATCAGTTCGCAATTAAATAGTGATTCACAGCTCATGTTGGAAACTCAAATGGTAGGTAGCCACCATTTTTATCGAATTACGTGATTTAGGGATCCCATTAAAGGACAAGAAATAGGTAACTAAAGATTTTTAGAAACAATTAATTACAAATCAAATATGATAGAAAAACCTCGTACATTTTTATCAATATTCACTGCAGCTCCTTTTTCACCCGCTTGTTTCGGATCTCCGGACTTATAGATCGGATCCGAGGCGTTCACAAAAAACGCCGGCTTCGGTACAACCGGAATCTAAAAATTATTGATTGCTTAATAAAACATCCATTGGAACCAACAAAATAAGAAACACAAGAGAAACGCAAGCAATAATGAATGGGCACGCCCACGCACGTCGGAAAATAAGTATTGATTACTCGCACAATTACGCGCGTTCTCACATTGGCAATCAGTACCCTTAATTCCAGCTTTTGGGTATTTTCTCCTTAGTGAAGTGCTCTCGTGAGCATTTTTGTCCTCAAATTCTCCTTAATATGAAATTTCCCTAAGCCATCACATTTCCCTTCACTTTAATGGTTAAAAATGTACATCGATGGTTAGCAAAAAGCCGCGCGTAATGTGAAAGTAATCAATAACTATTGTTGAACGTGTCGGCTTGTCATGCTTTTGAGTAACTAATCAGCAATAGTTAACGAACCGGCCCCTTATCTTCCTCCTTCTCTCTGGGTGGTGGCGGCTTTTCCTCTTCATCTTTCTCTTTCGATATCGGTGGACCAAAGCCCTGCACAAGCGGCATTCGTGGCATTCGTACCGCCGCTTCAGCTCTGTTGTCATGAACCTGAAAATTGGCACATTTCCAATTTTATGGTCATTTTTTTCTCGCAATCCTATGAAATAACCCAAATGTTTTAGCGAAAATCGCCTTCTGTAGCTGAAATTGATTTCATTAGTGCCAATTGAGTTTTACGGGTAAGTCAAAGCGAAAGGTTGGGCAAGGTCAGGCCGCGTTCATAGTCCGCGACTCGGGAGATTAGGATAGTAGGCGATAGGATATTAGGATAGTAGTAGAGTAGGAGATTGCGCTGACAAGATTGGATACGTATCGATTGAAATCGCTGGAGAGTAGTAGATTAGGCGACTTCAGGCGAATCAATCAATACGTATCTAATCTTTAGCGCATCGTCCTAATCTCCTACTATCCCACTACTGTAGTCGTAATATCGTAATCTCTCCTACTCTACCGCTTTTTCAATCGATACTTATCCAGTCCTTTTAGCGGAAGATCCTAACCTAGTTTCACTGTGCCTGACCTCCATGTCAATATACATCTTTTCTATTGTCGCGAAACAATCCTATTCCCCGAGTTACGAACTATGAACACGTCCTACATTGAAGATTAGGGAGGGGTCCATTGAGAGATGTCCAATGGTCGTACAGTTAGTAGGTCCTTGTGAACGATTTCAGATATTTATATGGCCCCACTCCAACCTGCTTATAACATCTGGACTGTCATGACTGGTTCGACGCTACACTCTTTTCCTATTTTACGAGAAATTTCTTCTCACTTCGATTGAAAACAAGGCCCAAGGGCAGACCGCCCCCTCCCATCCGATGGGCAGACCCTCTCGTAAAATTGTACGGCCAGCTGAGGCACGGAAGAGCCCGAAGCAGAGCTGCTGGAGATGTGGGACCTGCGTTTCTGGCGTGCCCGGGACGACTAGCAGTCGAGAAGTGAGTGAGAGAAGTGTAACTGATCAGCGAGGAAATCCTGGATTCCCTCCCACCATATAAACCTCATTTCGTAATGACTCGGCGAGATAGGACGGTTCACCCTAGGATGGACCCAAGTCGGTCAGCCACTGAGAATCGCTCTGTCGGCGTTTCTTGCGGTCACTGGCCGATCATGTTTAGCTTCGCCTTTGAGCAATGCGACCTGTCCTTCAACGAAGTTCTTCTTTTACCTTCTTTAGGTCATAACCTGACTGAAGAACTCCACTTGCAGGAATCCAATAAACTTCCTACCAGTAAAACACGCTGCAGACAACAGCGGACAAAAAGATTCTATGGAATCTTCATCAAGCGGAAGAACGGCCGCATTCTATGAAAATATGCGTGCGGTAAGGCCAACGAGTTGCCTCGACAAAACTCAGGAGTGGCAGTTTCTACGAAAAATCGCGCTTTTGTACAAAATAGCACGGCTAGTTTAACCCTCCTGGAAGAAACGCAAAATGCTTCGAGTCAAAAAACTCGTTCACATTAGGAAGGGGGCTTACTTTCTCTGATTTTTAGTGAGGAAGGTATGTTTCTGAGACCGGATTATGATTTTCATGTGGTTGAAGTTTGTAATTCCTAATTAGGTCCTTCAGGATCCGGTTCCAGAAGATTGCACGTCTCTGGAGACTCAGAAAAAGGAGGCTCTCCTTCATGGGCTTATTACTGCGGTTGTAGAATAGGTAAATAAATATAATTACATGAGAACAGTAGCGGCGTCGGAACAGCAGCTAAAAAGGGCCACATCGCTTTTGAGACAGAACCAACACCAAACTAGCCTAACTATAAGACTCTCGATTCATTCTCGTGATAGGTCTGGTGTGAGGGTACTCCAGAACGGGTCGTTAGATCTACTTAATGAACAACGAACGTCGTATTTTGTTATTCTAACGAGAGGGGTTGTAAGCAGGGTCAACCGTGCGGGCAGGTGGGGGTCGTGTTGACGGGTTTTGTGACGATTTTGGGCAAACACTTCAGAAAAAAGCAAGAAGCACGAAAAATTAGATAATTTTCCGTTTCTTTATGAATTAGGGCGGAAGTGGTGTAGTGGCAAGTGGCACGCTTACCACGCGAGCGGTCCGGGGATCAAATCCTGGGTCGTGAGTCGCCCGGGCCAACCAAGCCTTCCATCCCTCCGGGGTCGGTTAATTGGTACCAGACTTGTCTGGGAGGATAAAAACACTGACTTGTACATCGGCTGGCCCCGCAAGTCATTGTATAGGCCACATCGCATTCAAACGCCACTACGAATGTACAAATGGAAGTAGAATGCGTGCCGCATCCCAAAAAGGGATTGATCAACGGCAAATGCTTTATCCTTTGATATTCACAGGAGTAAGTAGGTCGTATCGGGGACTCCCTTAGGGCTGATGGTGGTGGTAGGGGGTCTCATCGACCTCCCCCTAAAGAAGGTAGTAGTAAAATTTTTGAAATTTGCGCAAATCTTGGTTGACCCTGGTTGTAAGTAGGGTCCCATTTGGACAACAGTGGTAGCAGTTTTTGGAGAGACATGAGAAGAAACAGATTTCTGGGCGTTGGGAAAATGTCCCGAACAATTCAGAGAAAATCTAGAAAATTTTCAAACTTCAGAAGAGGTAAAATAGCCCTTTATCCACTAAAGGTGGACCCTTTGGTCTTCGCTGGCAGATCTAGAACGCCATGGAGAGAATGGTACGCTCTTCGCATTTGTGCGAGAATACTTTGAAAGATAAGGATGAGGGTAGCGCAGCAAGTAGACGCGCTAGCACTTAGCGTCAAAATAATTAGATTGCAGCAATTGGCGCTACTCAAATTTTTTGGCGGCGAACAAGGCGCCAACATCCAATCTTTTTCTTCGTGGGTTTCCAGGAGTGTTTTGGACAATTCATCGTATCCAGGGCGAGGAGACAAATTAAGAGAAGTGAAAAGGGGACAGAAGTTAGAGATAGTGGGGCGGAGGCGTTCGCCGGCCGGTCGCAAAGTGAGCTTCGCTGACCCATACTCGTGGTGGACATTTAAAATGACCATTTTGGGCATTTAACAATGCACGAAATATGATCAAGTGATCCGATAAGCAATAACTAATGATAAACACAAAAATAAATAAGTAATAAAAAACTCACGGTATTTGAGCGATCCAGAACAGCAAAATAAAATACTACACATATCCATACAACCGGTACCAATATGAATATTTTGAAAAACAGCGAACGTTTCCGTGCTGGTAACAGCATTGTCGAGAATCGTCTCACTGTTATAGGGAGGAAAATTCAGCAGGAATATTCGAAAAATATCTATTGATCACAGAATAAACACAGATTTACTAGAGGAGCAGTACCAGGAGCAGACCGAATAGCAGGCCAAATGAGGTGAACGTTGACGGCGGCGGTGGCGACGACGACTGGACGACCTGCCGTAGAGCTCGCTCTTGACGAAATAGAACGTTCCTTGCTAGTATGCTGTCTGCGACAATCAGAGTGTCGAGGTTTTTTGTCACGGGAGCGTGAATCGGATAGCGAATAGGATTGAGTAAGACGGGACCATGGGATTTGATATCTGATTGCCGGGTTTGTATCACGAGAGGTCGGTGGCTTGTGCGAATATTAATAGCAGAGGCACTAATTCCTGGTTCGGGCATGTGGGGCTAATGCCGCAGGTTACGGGGCACCCTCAAGAGTAAGATTAGAGGCAGAACACATCTGGAGAAAATGAAAATCGTTTTTAATGCAGATCCGCTTCACTGCATCATCGGTCTCACCGGTAATTGCCTAGTCGCTAATGGCTACTCGCCCTACTCCCTTACTCGCCTAGTCGCCAATGCAATACGGATCCGCTAACTCTGAACGATGGCCTTGATATGCTTGGCTCTGATTTCAGAAGGGTGATATTTTACGAGGTTTTGAATGCAATGCCCCCCTATCTTGCACAAGCGCCCAGGTATGCTCACCCTGGTTTCCCGCTCAGGATACTGGCAGATCTGCTCCCAGGGTGTATTGGAAATCGCTCCCATCTGCAACAGAAAATCTCGCGCGTCCAAGGACACCATCTATGGTGGTCATTAGGTATGAAATGGGCGGATCGATGCCTTAAGAAGCTGTCATCAGATATGTGGGGTGTTGCCAAAAAAGATGTTGGCTACGACGACTTGACGAATCCAGTGAACTGAACGATGGCGCTAGGAAGGAAACTACCAGTAACCCAAGTACAAGAAGGCGGTGCGTACCGCTGACGACTCCGGTGCAAGGCCACGCCCCTTTTTGTGGCTAGTCGACCGTGTGGGCATAAAACAATTAAAAAAAAATAAAACGAACATGTCACATGCCAGAAGAAGGAAATTGTGAACAAAACGAATTGAGATATGATGGAAAAGTAGAAGAAGCAAGAACTCGAAGAAGGAAAGAAAAACAGATTACAGCAGATAACACAGTAGTAGGAGTACATTCATGAAATCCGCCGAATTTTTGAAAATCTTCAGAGGTTCTACTGAGGTACTGTGCCTTTAAGTATTCAACAAACACAATGTGAGCCACAGTAGGAGGATGTTTGCGGATCATGGCTAAAATCTGGCAGAGATTAATTTTGACATTTTGGAGGTAATTGTGGTCGCGACCTATGAGCGGCAAAACCAGAGAGCAACGTGAAAAACGCAAGGAGACGCGAGCGGTCGCGTAGCGTTTGCGACAAAAGTTCCACAATATCGTGTCAAATTGCGGACTGGGTCAAATAGACCTATGTGCATATCGTTCATGTTTACGTACTCTCTACAGAAACGAATGAGTAACACTTTTGCAGCATTTGGGGCGTAGGTATTTATTCTTCAGGATTCAGCCAACCTGGCCTTCCTAACATTTTTTTGCGACGGAAATGCAGCAGTCAAAAGAAACAGTGTTACAGATGACTGCGCAAATATCAAATCCTGCCCTGTTCAGCCAACCCCACGACTTCTTCCTACTCTGCTAGCTTGTGCAGAACTTGCCTAAGGGAACAAAAAAAAACAGAAAAATCCACAACCAGTTTGCAAGTTAAATACGCACCATAACTTCGTGATGATTTCGAATGAAAGATCGATGCATGGCGCATCCCAGAAACTATTTGTTCTGTCTACCTTCCCGTTCTAAAAACCTTATGTCTCGGCTTGAATAAGGAATGCTAGGATTACGAAATCTACCCTAAGATGTTAAGAAGTTCAAGCGCTTCGGACATGCTGTACATAATGAAATCTTGGCGTTAACTTATGGCTAGTACATTTTAGAGTATGCGCATAAGCTATGGATGGAATGTATACAGAAAATCGCAAGGTATTAAAGGCACGGGATCGGATAAAATTTGAGTGGTATTTTCTAGAAATTAAGCAGAATGCAATGCAGAGCAATGTGAAGTGAGGGAAAAAAAATCAAAAAACCCATAGAAACACTTGATATTTGCATTCAGCAAAAGAGTCGTCCGTACATGACGAGGGAACAGTCGCTACAGGAGGAAACCTGGAAGCAGTGGAAGTGAGAGACGCAAACGTTTAGTATTGTCACGACTGATAAGAGCAGGCCAGCGTCAGGCCAGCAACACAGCGGAACAGCCTTAGGGGACCTGGGAATGCAATGTTGGCGTCGCGAGTTCCTGGGCTTGGTTACTTCTCCTTCTTACTCTAGGTATGGACTACCTCTTGGTACCTAATCCCGATCCCGTGGCTTTAACTACGACGTAGACTACATAATAACTTTGGGGGGGGGAGCAGCCAGTGTACAAGTCAGTGTTCCTTTTCTTTCGGACAAATTTGTACCAATTGAGAGATGTTAAAGGAGAGAGAGACTTGGATGGCCCTGCTAAGATTGGACACGGTCTTTGATCCTTAGACCGTCTGCGCGGTAACCAGCACCAGCACAAAACCGTCGCCCAAAACCTCCACTCAAACTAGCAAGGCATAAGAAGGAGAAAGCATTTGCCGTTGATCAATCCCGTTTTGGGATGCGGCACGCATTCTACTTCCATTTGTACATTCGCAGTGGCAAGTTTGAATGCGATGTGGCCTATACAATGACTTGCGGGGGCCAGCCGATGTACAAATATATGGAAATTTATGTTGTTTATGAATTGGAAATAAGGTTTTTACCGTTGATGTTAGAGACCAGATTTATTAATATGCTATTATGTGGGGTCAAACAGAGGGTCGTACAAGTCAGTGTTTCCCCCAGACAAGTCTGGTACCAATTAACCGACCCCGGAGGGATGGAAGGCTTGGTTGGCCCGGGCGACTCACGACCCAGGATTTGATCCCCGGACCGCTCGCGTGGTAAGCGCGCCACTTGCCACTACACCACTTCCGCCCTACTAGCCGTATACGGTTGGCGAAATTCCTGGAGCAATTCCAATATCTTATTTTCAGTACCGGCGGCGATGCGTTGACGGTTAAAAATCCTCTGGTCTACGCCCTGATGCGTTCATTTGGAGAGACCAAACGCGCCATGGATTCTACGTTCATTCAAAATCGCGGAGCGCTTATCTGCGACATGGACCGCAGGATCGAACCCGGTACAATCGATTTCAAGGGTTAAGGTAGATGGAGGCTCAGAACTCAATGAGGAACACTCGAAAACCTTAATATAGCCCCATGAATCAAAAGCATGGCTAGCACGTCCCGTCACTAAGAGCAGTCTTTGGAATGCCAGCCAGCTATCTCACTCGAATTCAATAAGCTGAATAGGCTCACTAAAGCGCTGACACATCGGTCGATCAATCGAGCCTTTATGAGCCATCGTTACGCTGATGAAAAGGCTACAGTCACACAGCGAGAACTCGTCATATCAAATGTGCTATAAATCAATCAAGCATGCTGTCCGCTCAAGTAGGCAGAAAAGCTACCAGTCTTTGACCGCTTTTTACCCGATCAGAACCTCTTTTTATGCAAACCGTAACGCCGTGAGCAAGTCCCATAAATCAGAAGTTGCGCCAAGAATTGCGCCGAGAACTGCCCACGAGAACTATGCTGTTTTGAGAAGCTTCTATCAGGGTCAACCGTCCGTTCGCACTATTTGAACAAGGTGGTTGTAGTTGCGACTTTAGGGGGGGGGGGAGGGGAGACAGAGGGACGAAATCGTATTTGGGTTTGAGCAGGATTAACCATGTTGGGAAAGGAGCGATTGGGGGGTTGTAGTTGTAAAAAGTGAAGGAGTTCGTGATTTTGGAACAGGGAAGGGGGCTAGTTCCTGCAGAGGTTTTTGGTGATTTTGGCGGAAACTCTGCGAAAGAAAAAAGAAAATAGAGGCCCCCTTCCCCAACACCCCTATCCCGCCACCCGCTCGCTGGTTTCGACTGGTCCTGATGGCGAGGGTGGTTGTCGGGGTAGGGCGAGGAGGGTCCTATTGGAGGAGCTTCCAAAGACGGCTAACTTCGGGGGAGGGGTAGGGAGAAGGAGGAGCGTAAAATGCCGTAAAAGTGCGATCGTGACGTTAAATCCCTGGTTTTACTCGCATCCCTGTACTCCATTACAACACGAGTATGGCCAAAACTCTCACTGAAGGCAAAGTTCAGGATTTCTGGTCGAAATGGAGCCTTCACGTGGGAAAAGTGCAGTGGTGCGGCAGGAAGCTGTACACAAACGTCGTGATGATTTGATAAGGTCGAGGTGCTAAGGCACAAGGGAGCAGCATTGATCCCCCCTCTTAACTCCATTAACCCACCCACAAGTGAATGGTTTTTCGCTCGCCACTACTCAAGACGAGGGTTTCACTTCCGTCGCTGTCGACGTTTTAGCCTTTTTTCATTACACCTCACAACAGGCCTTACGGTCACCTACAAGCACAACAACAGATCAGTTCGACTGTGACTGTGCCTTTAAGGTCGACTTCCAAACTGGCAGTTCCCATTGATCCTTGGTTGAGAAAGGACATGTTTAGATGATCAATATAAAGAACATGCGGCAAAAGAAAGAAAACGGTTATCCAGTATGGTGATGTAGGTTCCATCGTAATGTGCAGCTGGGGCGCACTGTTGAGCATTAGAGCGCACGTTATATCACAAAAAATATTTCGAAATCGGAGAAGAGGATGAAATCTATCCAAGGAGATTAAATACAAATAGTGGGCTGAATGTATGCTGAATTGGGCGGGGCAAAAGTCGGTATATGACAAGGTTCCAAGACATCCTGATGACCACGAAATAACTAGCGAAAGAGGAAAGGTCAAATGGTCACGGAAGGTGAGGAGAGATGGGGAGGGCATCGAGGTGGGAGCAGCGCTAC